CCACATCCCCAGACTTAAGGCCTAAGAAGGCCAAAATCAGAAGCCAGAAAGGAAAAGCTTAACAACTCTGACTACATGAAATTACGCAACACTGAATGAAATAAAACACAAGAAAAAAAAAAGATTGTGAACAAAGATGGAAAAAAAAGCAACAACTTGAGGGATTATTTGTAATATTTGACAAAGGCATCACTTCCTTACTGTACAAAAGTCAAAAAGAGGGGAAAGTACAAATGATGCATAAAATTGCATATTAAAAGATTTTTTTCCTAAATTAACAAAAGAAAGAGATCAGTCTATAATTTCTGACCTGTCAAATCAGCTAAAGTTAAAAGTTGGATGGTGACAGCAGTGGTGTGGGAGAAGACATAAGTACAGTTTGGAAGCACAAACTGACACAATGTTTCTGAATTTCCTAATAGTGATCAAATTTTAAATTTGTATATCCCATTGCTAGAACTTTCCCCTGCAGAGACTCCTGAGGATCAACAGGATGACAAAGAGGCCAACTGCAGTACTGGAGGCCAACACAAAAGCCCAGGCACAACGAGTGTCCTTGAGGGAAGAACAGGTTAACAAGTGATGGCATGTTCATAAGATGGACTAGTATGAGTTTTGGGATGAGGGAGGAAGCTGGGTGGAGCCGAGGGGAAAGATCACTTTCATCTCGTATCTACATGTACTCTTGGAATCCATCTACCACTTTAATTTTTTTTTAATGCTTTTGGGGTGGCAGATTTATGGGCCACTTTTGGTTAAAAGAATTTTTAAGTTAATTGAAGCAGCCCGTCTACAGGACTGAGCTTTGGAGGAGTTAAGCTAAATGATATAGCACTGTAAACCGAGTAGTAGCTATCAAAATAAAAAATACATATGCCCTTCTCTGCTCTAGCAATTCCACCGCTAAGGATTTACCTCACCATAAATGTAGAGAAACAAAAGGACACTTACTTACTCCAGAGCTGCTGGCAACAGCAAAAATTAGAAAACACCTAAAAGCACATATGCAGACTAGTTACATAAGTCATGGTACATCCGTGAGACGGAATTCTCTGCAGTGGCCTTAATGAGGCAGATCTCTATGTGCAGTACAGAAAGGTACCCACAGCAGACTAATGAGTGAAAAGGCACAATACAAGGCACATGGTCTCCATTTGTGTACATATTTGAAAAGACAAACACATATAATCCCTGGAAGGAAGCTTAAGTATTCATAGCAGTTATATCTGGCTGTGCTTCTGACTGTGCAACTGTGACTTAGGAAATAATTAAAAGAAAAGACTGATATAATCAACTGAATTCTTTATAAGAACAGGAAAGGCTGTATTTGCTGCTTTGTTTACTTCCTTATTCATCCTTCAAGAATGGACTGTTGGGGAAGTTTGAAAAAAGAGGAGATGAAGGACCTTGGAGAGCCACCCTGGGTGACTAGGTCTGGTCCCAGCCCTCATCATCTGGGGCCAGGCCTGCCAGGCCCATGTCCCACCTGGCTTCCAAGCAAACCTCATAGGACAAAGTCCTGCTTCCTACAGAGGATGTGCTATAGTATACCCTGGCTCCTCCCTCTTTTTCAGCTCTCCATCCTGACTCCCTTCTAGCTTGGATTATGTTCAGTGCCACCAAACTGGAGAATCAGCTCCAAGAGTCCATGCTATTTCTTGGCTTCATTTCCCACCTCCACGCTATTCCTATGCCACCCTTCCTCCCTCTCATTTCAGACTTATCATTGGCATCATCCTCTGTAAGCCTCTGGCTCCTCCAGGCTTTCTGAGGTCTCCTGGCCCTGGCTCCCCTGCCCTTACCACAGTTCACATCCCCTTCCCTATTTAGCCCATAAACTCAAATATGTAACACACCAAAGGCTTCCAGACTGAATCCTAGCTTCATCCCATAGTGACAGTCTCTTTCTTCAAATGAACTGATCTGGCTTTTTGGTGGGAGAAAGAGTCTTTTCCTCTGTGTTTTTCTTCTCTAATGTCTTTTCACTGGGGCTGGTCAGACATCTCAGAGGAGGAACCTCATTCTCTTTGTCTGTCCAAGCTAAAAGCCAGGTTTGGAGAAAAAGGGTAGGGATGTGTTACTATTGAGGGGGTGAACTTTCTCTATTTTCAGGATGGCTCGCTACTCCCTACCCCTTCAATATGCCAGATGCCTCTCAATCCAGGTACTCCTGTCTTATTCCTTCTGGAGAATAAATCTTGGGGAAAAGCAATCCTTTAATTGTCTGCCAAGATGGGAAGTAGTCTCTTGGCTGCTTGGAGTGGCTGAATATTCTAGACTCCTAAGTAACCCTCCTGTCCTTAGTCTCCTCCTTAATGTCCAATTTCCAGAGACTGCTGGCACAGTCAGTTTCTGGGATCTGGGAGAAAGCCATGGTCACAGACAGCTGCTTCAGAATTGTAGGTGAGTTAGCCCTTAACCATCTGTTTTGTGGCAATCACCTCCTGTCCTGCTCTTTTTGATTTTATGCTTTTTTAAAAAGTCCCTTTACTGTCCTTTTACACAAAACGACATGTGATGAACCCACCATCTTTCCCAGGTACACTCTTGAGTATATCTTACAACAACAATTCTATGACTTAAGTATTACTGTTCCTATTTCACAGGCAAAAAAGGAGATCAGAGGAGTTGTCTGCTGAAAGTTACCCACATAGTACATTACAGAGCTATTAATTTGAATCCACTGTTTGAAATCCATTATTAACATATTAAAGATAGAAAAATTATAGCCTGAGAAGATTATTTACCAAGATGATCAGGCAAGCAAGTGTCAGCACCCAGACTTGAATCCAGGACTATCTAACTTCAAAATCTGCTCTCTCTAGTATATTTTACCGCTCCCTTTTTAATGTCAGTCCAACTCAACTGCTCTACCTGAGCTCAAGAATACATACTTAGGGCTGGGTGTGGTGGCATATGCCTGTCATCCCAGCAACTGGGGAGGCTGAGGCAGGAGAACTGCAAGTTCAAAGCCAGCCTCAGCAATTTAATGAGACCCTGAGCAACTTAGCAAGACCCTGTCTCGAAAAAAAAAATATATATATACACACACACACACACACACACACACATGCTTAGGGGGCCCAAGAGCTATCTCTGTAAATGCATAGCTTTTGTGCTTCTGTTTTTCTATATTTCTCTTAACCAGTATATTTAGGTTAATTTGGATAACCCCCCTCCCCCCGTCTTTGGGGTTGGACCCAAGCACTCTACCACTGAGCTACATCCCCAGTACTTTATATTTTGAGATAGGGTTTCATTAAGTTGTCAAGGCTGACCTTGAACTTGCAATCCTCCTGCCTCAGCCTCCTCAATAGCTGGGATGACAGGTATGCACTATAGTCTCTGGCTGGATAATACAGCACTGATCTGAGACTGGTGGGTTTGCATCTGTACTCTGCTTTGAACTCACTGCTGCTGAGAAATGCTACTTCACTGCCACATGTTGATGAAAACAGAACAGTCTGCTTTACCCTATGGATATTTTCATTCCAAGTGAAGCCAAATAAAGTGAGGATGCATGTGAGAACAAAGGCTTTGCAGTTTGGTGGAAGAGCATCAGGCCATCACAGCAAGTAAATCCATGCTACCTAAACCTTAAAGAAGCTGGCGCATTAACACTCAAGATTTTCAGGTGGCAAAAGGCAATTCCATTTCAGTAAAATATCAAAGTGCATGTTATGTCCTCTGAATATGTCCCCATCCTTAGGCAACAAGACTGTATGTGAAGTCTTTAGACTAGGGCTCAGCAGTGGAGCACTCGCCTGGCACGTGTGAGGAACTGGGTTCGATCCTCAGCATCACATAAAAACAAAATAAATGTATTGTGTCCACCTACAACTAAAAAAAAATACATATTTTTTAGGGCTGGGGTTGTGGGTCAGTGGTAGTGTGCTTGCCTAGCATGTGTGAGGCACTGAGTTCGATTCTCAGCACCACATACAAATAAATAAAATAAAGGTTCATCAACAACTAAAAAAAAATATTTAAAAATACATATTTTTTTAAAAAATGAAGTGCAAAAGAATGACTTAAAAAATAACCTAGGCAAACAGGGGGACAAGAGAGATAATGACGGCATCCTTTGGTACTAAATTAGAACAAAGTTAGTACAGGGATCTAATCATTTAGGGCAAGGTATATGTCTTTTTTTCCTATAATGTTTCCTGTGACACTCTTCCTCTCATTTTTTTTAAAATTATAGGTTATCCACATTCATATCTTTCCTTCTAATGGTGAGCCCTGTGGAGTTAAAAAGTTGGTCCCTTTTATTGTGTATACTCATAGAATTTGGGGTGAGATGATGTGTATATGTTGAAAACAGGAACCAAATGGGGTAAGGGGTAAGCCTCTCGAATCCAAAAGCCCCAAATCCGAAATGCATCAAAATGCAAAAACTTGGCTGCCTCCATGATGCCACAAGCAGAAAATTCCACACTCGAATTCGTGTGGCAGGTTGCAATCAAAACACAGGTGAACTAAAAAAAATCGTATAAAATTACTTTTTATACTTTTTTTATACTTATATATTATTTTAACTAATATATAATATATATTTATATATTACTTTTGGGAACTTGGGTCCCATCCCCCCCAAATATCTCATGAGGTACATGCAAACATTTCATCATCCTTAAAATATGCAAAGTAGGAAACACTTCTGATCCCTAGCATTTCGGATAAGGGATCTGCAACCTGTATGAACCGTGCTAGGGCTGAGAGCTTAACTTGCTCAAGATGGCAAAGGGGCAAACTTGAGCACCTGGACCCCCGAGCCTGTGCACTGAGTCAATAAGTCGGCTTCTTTCTAAGCCCATCGCTGAACTCTGGAGTAACTCTGTGTGTGGTCTCAGCGAAGGCCGCTTCCGGTCCGGGGTCTCGGTTTCCTCATCTCTGGACACAGAGGCCACCCCAGCGCGCCCAGGCCTCTCGCAGCTCTGAAAGGGCGAGACCGGAAGCAAGAGGGAGTGCGGGGGGCTCGTCCTCTCCTAGGCCCTTACCATTTGATGATGTTGTGAACCAAAGGCAAAAAGGAGTAGTTCTCCTCCTTCACGCCCGCGGGTGACTGAGGCCGCGGGGCCGGCGACGGCTGCGTCTGGGGCGCAGCGACCGGAGGTGGCGGCTGAGGAGGCGGCAGCGGCTTGGTCTCAGGCAGCTGAGGCTCGGACGGGGGCGGTAACGCATCCTCGGCTTGTCGCCCCGCGGCCACCCCGGCGGAAGCCATAGCGGCGCGGGAGTAACAATCAGTAGGACTCCCCCCCACCCCACCCCCCCAGGAATCGACCTTCCAAGAGCGTCGCGGACTGTTACGTCACTCTTGTGCACCCGGCCAGGGCGGGGCTCGTAGGGAGGCTCTGAGCGTGCGCACTGGAAACGGGGCGGAGCAAAGGCACGGGGGGTGGGGGCGAGGCAGACTGTTGCTAGGAGGCCGGCGTGGGCGGGTCTGGGGTGGCCTGGATGCGCTTGTGACTCAATAGCTGAATGATTGAAGGAATAATTTAGGGAGTAGGAGATGCATTTCAGACATAATGGCCTATAGTCCTATCTGTGTGACCAAGTGGGCACAAAAGCAAAAACACAGGAAGCCCAGAAATAAAGGCTCAGCTTGGCCTAGCCCGTGGGTCTCTCCAGGAACCAATTGGAGCTGCAGGGAGAGCTCCTAGGGGAGCATCTAGGTGAGGCCTGGGCTCACACAGATTCCAGAAAGGAAGAACCTAAGTGCCGACACCATGCAAATCTCCGAGAGGAGGAGCAGAAACCTGGGGACCGAACCCTACAGTGCCTGCCCCCATGCAAAGAACAAAGGACGCAGAAGCAAATAAATTGTGGTCCCTTCCAAGTTCCTCATGGCTGCTGAGAGAGACACTAATAATTCAACTCCATAAACATTGAGTATGCGCCTGGACCTGCTGGTTGTGGGTGTATGTAGTTGAGGAAGTCTGTCCAGACTTTCAATACAAGGCAGACGTATTCATCCCAAGGAAAAAAATATAACCTGGAAGAAAGGCTGCCTCAGATACTGTCAGTACCTTTGGGCCAGCTCCTTAAGCACTAGGTCCCAGTTGCCCTCCCTCTAAAATCTTATTTAGTCCAGAGACAGGGCAGGGGCTCAACTAAATTCTAGCTTCACATATGTGGTTGACCCTGAGAAGTTTTCTTTGCATGAGAAGCCTCCCTCCTGAGCCCAAGAGGGGGACAGCTGGTAGGTTTGGGTTTATTCTTCTCCAAACAAGTATGATATATGGGGGCTGCATTAAAAAAAATTGTTGGATGATGAGGACTTGAGCTAGGAAAGCTATTAATTGGAGCCCATCCTTCCTCATCCACCATCATGGAAGGAAAGAGAGGTAAGAAACCTTACATTCAGGAAGCAGGGTGAACAGCTGCACTTACATCCAAGATGGATGATTTCAAGGAGGGAATGGATGTAGATACTTTCAGGTGCAGTGGGAGGGGCATGTGGACACACAGATCCTAGGGGAAGTGGACTTTGGAGGTGTGCTGTAGAGATCTTTCATTATGAGCCTCAGCACAGCTTTCTATAGCCAGAGCTGCCCAAAGTGACCCAGAGAGAGAGAGAGAGAAAGAGAGCAAATAAAAGGAGGGGACTTCACGGTTTTTCCTTCTTTCTATCCTTGTTCCCCTTCATGTAAGGGAAGAGTCAAGAGTCCTGGTAGAGAATGGAAGAGAAAAATGCCTGCTGGAATAGGGCCAGATGTGCTCAAATACACCCTTGGAGGCATCTGGAGAATAATGATAGTCTGCCGGGTTTCTGTTCTCGCCACTAAAAGGCCCAGGGTTCACTCCAGTTAAACTGGGCTAACTGAGCTGCATGAAATAACCACACAAGAGACACAATACCTTTTTCTTTGGGGTCGCTGTGACGGCTCCTCTGACCTTAAGGGTCCACAGGAAGAGAGAGAGCACATGCTGACCCCTTTTATTGAGGAGAAGCTATTAAAATGAGGCAAGGGCTCAGGTTTCAGAGGGCTGAGTATCTTCATGATGTCCACTGTCAGCAGGTTGACTGACACCTGGGTAGGCCACACCCAAGGGCACAGTAAGAGAAGGGGACACACACAAGGCACTTCCATGGAAGATTCTATCGTAAACAGGGCAAGGGGTTATATTGCAAAGGAACAGGTGAGCATAGCTTCACCCATGGGGCTGTAGCAAGACACACCATGCATGAGACACCGATCCTCGCACCCAAGAAGGGTGCCACATTTCTGCGACTGAGAGCCTCAGCACCCAGCCAGGGAGTGTAACTCAGTCATGTGTAAGGTTGGCCTCCCACAATAGTCATTACCCAAACTACCATGCGATAAAAATATCTTCAAAAATCAAAGTTACAATCACTATCTCATTTAATTCACCAGGGAAGGTGGATGTTAGTATCCCCTTATCATAGATGGGGAAACTGAGGCTTACAATGGTTACAAGACTGGCCACAGGGTCACATGGTTATGAAGCTTGTCTGACACCCCGTGCTTTTTTCTCAACAGACACTTAGGTGACCTCAAATTCCTCCCTCCTCTTCAACTGTGTGATTTGAAATGTTAAAGTGGAGTTTTATTCACCATTTAAGAAGCAATCCAATAGTTATCAATAATATCTCCATGGCAACCACACGTCATCTTTTCCCTCCCAGTGTGTTTTATAACTTAATCACAAGCCCCAACTTTACCATTGACATAATAATGAGAATGTCTCTTAAAAAAAAAACAAACAACAAAACACAACACAACACTTCAGGTATAAATAGTCATGGCTAAAGAAAAACAAATTGGAAACGTAGGCAGCATGAATAAGTATAGTGCATTGACAATTTGCCCTAAAAATAGTTAATATAATTAGTGGCAAAGAGTAAAGCTAACTTCATAACGTTGCAAGCGGATGTCAGAAAAACACTTGCCTGTGCTGGTTTCATTAAAGCTGAAATTGCTGCAAAAAAATGCGTGTCTGTTTATAGCCACTCTTTAAAAGTCAAAAAAAAAAAAAAAAGCCAGATGCTTCATTGATATGTAAGAATGTACTAGAGATTTCCACCAACTGAAATGATTTGGCCATTGCTTTCTCAGGCGGATTTACACCATTCCTTGTAAGGCTTTGTCCTGTGGAATTAGTGGTTAAAAGGTTGGCTCTGAAGCCCACCAGCCTGACTTGGGTCCCAACTCAGCCTCTTTGAAGTTGTGTGATTTTAGACAACACTTTGCGCAGCCCTGCGCGACCTCAGGGAAGGACGGAATGGGTTATTACATATTATAATTGGTAAACTTCATGTGTTAGAAGCTTAATCCCCCAAGGTTGAGAGGTGGGACTTTTAGGTGGTGATTAGTCACCAGGGATCTGTCCTCATGAATGGATTGATGTTATCACAGGAGTGGATTAGGGATCCAGAGGGTGAGTGTGTTATGAAAGCAAGTTGGGCTTTCTCACCTCTCTCTCATGTGATGCCTCTACCAGGTTATGACAGAGCAAGAAGGGCCTCACCAGATGATCTTGGCCTTCCCAGCCTCTGAAACTGTGAATCATATTAATTTGTGAATTACAGATTACCCAATCTGCAGCATCCTGTTACAGATCGCACACTGGACTAAGAAGCATGTCACCCAGAATAAGTGAGTATCAAAAATCAATGAAGGGCTGGAGTTGTGGCTCAGGGGTAGAGCACTCGCCTAGCATGTGCAAAGCCCTGGGTTTGATCCTCAGCACCACATAAATATAAAATAAAGATATTGTGTCCATCTACAACTAAAAAATTAAAAAAATAACAATCAATGAATATCAATTTATGATCTGTAAATATCAATTTTTATTATTCAGATTTAGGGTTCCCCCTTCATCAATTAACAAATAGGCCGACAGCCGTTTAAAAAGTACATCTTCAATTAATGAAACTAAAACGTCATCTTAAAGATTATTATTAAACTAGGATATCATTTTAAAAAGAAGGATCTCTTTCCAGTAGAAATACAATATTAGCCATAAAATGAGCCACAAGCCATGTTTAGTTTTCTAGTGGTCACATTAACAAAATAAAAAAACAAGAGAAGTTAATTTTAATATTTTTAACCCAAATATATTCAAAATATTGTCATTTCAACATGTAATCAACACTCAAAATCATTAACTGATTATTTAACTTTTTCAAACTGTCTCTGAAATCTGATGTGTGTTTTACACTTACAGCAGAGCCATCTCCATTTGAACTAGCCACATTTCAAGTGCTTAGTAACCAAATGTGGCCAGTGGCTACACAACCACTTTGTGAGTTAAAAGAGATCAATACATGTCAACAGGGCTGGGGATGTGGCTCAAGCGGTAGTGCGCTCGCCTGGCATGCGCGGGGCGCTGGGTTCGATCCTCAGCACCACATAAAAATAAAAATAAAGATGTTGTGTCTACCAAAAAGTAAATAAAAAAAAATACATGTCAACACAGGCGTTCACAATTGTAGTGGCAGAAATGGAGAGAAAAAACAAGTGGCCCAAAGGGTACTATTTTAAAGTAATATAACTTACATGTGTTAGCTTTCCATTACTGTAACAAATTACCTGACATAATCAACAGGAGGGAAATTCTTTTTTTGGCTCACAGTTTTTGAGTTTTCAGTCTCTGGCTGGTTGACCTGTGGCTTTTGGGCCTGTGATGAGGTAGCACATCATGGTAAGAAATGCAAGTATAGCAGAACTGCTCTCCTCATGGCCAGAAAGCCGAAGAGAAGAAGAAAAAAGGACTTATATTTGAAAAAGGAATTAGAGGGTGCATTCTGCATTCATGGGACGGGGGATGGAACACAGAATCGAAATACAACAGGCATAAGAACTTTCTATGTGGTGTTTTCTTTCTTAAGGAAGAAGTGCCTAGGACAATTTTGGACCATTGCTGCACACGGGGGTGAGTGCAAGGGGAATTAGTTACATGGAATCCAGGCTCTGCCCATTCCTGGCTGCATGACCTTGGACAAATTATTTATCCTCTCTGCGCCTCGGTTTCCTCATCTGAAATATAGAGTAATAATAGAACCCACCTCTTAGGGCTGCCCTAAGGATCACTGGTGTGGATGCACATAAGGGCTCTGAACAGGGCCGGGCACCCAGTAAACACGATTTCAGTTTTAAACTGCCTCCACGGAGAACAAATACAAACACAAGACGACATCCAAGAATCCAGCTTTCAGATGTTCAAAGCGGACCCCACATCACAAATCCCTGAACAGGCTTGTGATTTATTTCTGCTTCGTGAAATTCCAAAAATAGTCAT